AAGAATAAAAACCCAGGCTTGGAAGGACACACCCACCCTACCCTAGCATAGGCCTCATCACCTCCACATCGCCTTTGGGCATCAGGCCCCACCACATCCTGCTCTAAAGAGATATGGGGTATCCCCTACAAGTGGCCTAGCCTTAGGAGAGAGCCTCCTGGAACACACAGTTGTCATCTGAGGCCACAAAAAACTTGGACTGTAGCTGTACAGTTCCTCTGCTGACACAGAACCGCCCGTGTAGAAAGGCTGCTCCTCCTTCCAGAACTGTGGCTATGAACTGTATCATACACAACATTTACAGAGAAAACAGGGTTGTAGAGTTTCATTTCGGCAAAGAAATATTTGAAGTAAAAGGGGCAACTCATTTTTGAACCTACTTGTTATCCAGAAGGAGTTTGCCTGCGATGGTGAAGGAAGGGTTGTGGGGGCTTCAGTTATTCCAGAGAGAGCTAAGATTTAGGCCATGAATAAGAAATTAAAAAAAAAATCTTAAAAATGAAAAGATTCGCCTACATTGTTTTGTGTTTTACATGAACTTAACAGCTTTAACTTGTAAAATATTTCATAATCTTTTTTTACCCTCCCCCCATACTTTGAAAGAGGGTCTAACAAAGAATGTGGTGGCCTCAACTAGCCTGGAACTCATGGCAAGCCTTTCCACCTTGGCGTCAGTCACCACACCTGGCTCTCATTTTCTTATAATAAAGGAAAGAGGACCTCTATTAGGAAACATATAAATTCTGATATTATCTGTAACTGATCATTCCATGTAAATCTGCTTTGCAGAGATGTAATACAAACACCCTTTAAAGCCGGGTGGTGGTGGCACACACCTTTAATCCCAGCACTCGGGAGGCAGAGGCAGGTGGATCTCTGTGAGTTTAAGGCCAGCCTGGTCTACAAGAGCTAGTTCCAGGACAGGCTTCAAAGCTACAGAGAAACCTTGTCTCAAAAATAATAAATAAATAAAAAAAATTATAAACAAACACCCTTTAAATTAGGTGTACAATTACAGATTCTAAATACGTTATTTAAATTAAAAAAATAACACTCTTTCAGAAAAAAAAACTTAAAAACGCAAGATATTGGCTAACACAATGACAATCATAAGAAACAATCTTATGAAAAAGAATGTAACTGAAGAGGTATAGAATGTCTACCTGGCATGACAAGCCCCAGGGTTCAATTCCAAGCACCACGCACATTAAAAAAAAAAAGACAGTATGGTTGCCATGTGTTCAAAGGCAGCCTGGAGTAGAGCAATGCTTTCAAAAAGGCTGGTGAGATAGTGGTAAGTAAAGACGTTTACTACCACACTGAAGACCTAAATCCAACCCTGCACGCTGTCCTCTCGCCTCCACAAGTACAGCGACACTTGCACCCCCTGAATACAAAATAAAGCTTCAGATAAAAGGTCTACTGTACACGGCAGCTTCTGTTTCGTGTGTGGGTGTTGTATATGTGAGCTGCTTGTTGTTCTTTAGTTTCTTTAGGCAGGACTTCATGTAGTGGAGGCAGGGGGATGCCTCAAAAAAAAAAAAAAACGACAACAACAACAACAAAAACTAGCTACCTGTGGTGACTTTCTGTGAGTCCAAGAATATAGTCTGGTCTACACAGTAAGTCCCTAACCTGGTCTATACAGCAAGTTCCAGGACTATGCCTCAAAAATAAAAAAAAATAAAATAAAATAAAATAAGGGCTGGAGAGATGGCTCAGAGGTTAAGAGCACTGCCTGCTCTTCCAAAGGTCCTGAGTTCAATTCCCAGCAACCACATGGTGGCTCACAACCATCTGTAATGGGGTCTGGTGCCCTCTTCTGGCCTGCAGGCATATGCACAGACAGAATATTGTGCACATATAAATAAATAAATATTTTTAAAAAATAAAAAATTAAAAAATAAAATAAGCAAGTAAATAAATAAATAAATAGGGGGCTAGGTGGTCAATAGCTAGGCAGGAAGAGGTTAGACGGGACTTCTGGGGACAAAGAGAACTCAGAAAGGAAGAAGTGGGGGGGGGAATATCAGCTGGGCGTAGAGGAAACAGGATGTATCGGAAGAGAGGTAAAAGTCACAAGCCATGTGGCAGCATATTGATTAATAGAAATGAATTAATTTAAGTTATAAGAGCTAATTAGAACTAAGGCCAAGCTTTCATAATTAATAAGAAGTCTCTCTGTCATTATGTGGGAATTGGCTGATGGGACAGAAAAAGACTCATAACATTAGACCAACCTGCTCCCCAAATTCTTTGTGGGCCATGGACTTCAGACACCCAGAGTCACATGAAGAACCACAAAAAACATCAGCATATGCATATGACTGTGTGAGGAGCATGAGTTGGGGGTGAGTGTAAGAGTGAACATAGGTATTTGGCGGACAGTCTAAACGTACAGGATGGGTGAGTGTGCAAGGGGAGGGCATACATAAGTGTGCAAAGGGAAGTAAGGACAGAATCATTATGTCCAGGCAATGTAAAAGATGGGCAACTGTCCCACACACCTCCCACGGGAGCACAGCAGGACAGGAGGTGGCAGTACCTAGCTGGAGGAGAGTCATCACTCAGAAAACTTCAGCTTCCCCACTCAGTGGTCCCCAGTGAGAAGGAAGACCCATCCACCCGCAACCCAGAAGCAGTACTGTCCTGAAAGCGTGGTCAGTCCTAGCTCTCTCCAAGTGGAGATCCCAGGTTCACTATTAGTAGCCCTGGCCCTTCCAGTGTTTCTGACCTACCCTGTCTCTGCTCCTGGGTCCTTCAATCCATCTGATCATGGTTTCCCCTATAGAAAATTCAAGTCTTCTAAGAACAAAGAATGACCCTATTCCTTCCATTTGCCACCAGCACAGTCCTAAGGCAGCTCAAAGAGATAAGCCCTCCAATGTTCTCCTTCATCCTCAGGCATCCCTGTCTCGCTGGTCTTCCACTAAGAATAGAAGCCATCTCAACTTCTCCTGGACTGATGTCCTCAGTCCTTCTCCTGGACCAGAGCACTGTGTCTGCTACCTCCCATCACTGCAGACTGAGGAGCAGCAGGGAATAGAAAAGAGAGCAGGTACAAACCTCCTCTGTGAGGAATAACCATGAGCGGAGCATGTACACACAGATTCTGATACTGCTGCCCCAAGATGGGCAAATGTTGCCCAGCTCTGTGATGGTTCTAGGCCTGCTCTGATATGGAAGACAGCATCACAGAACCCGACGTTATGTGAGGACTAGGTAGCATGACTGACACAGGTCATAAACATCGCCCTCTACAAGGTGTTATTATCATTCAGTTGAGCACGGTGGTCACCAAATGTTGAACTCTGGAAATGCCACAGAGGAAATCACACCAGATGAAGTGATATGCAGGATTTAGAGAACAGGGGATACTAGCAGACCTGCCCTCATACGCCCAGATGTTTTGCAGGACACATCTGCATTACATGGATGCCCCCCGCTTTGTGTGTCACACTTCTAACCCTCAGGCAGAGGGCCTCATCTTGTTAACAGATCTAGGGAGGGGAGAAAAACCCACACTGGAAAAGCATTAGCTTGGGGTCAGATGAAGTGGTATATGCCTTTAATCCCAGTATTCAGGAGGCAGAGGCAGGCAGATCTCTATGAGTCTGAGATCATTGGAGTCAGCCTGGTCTACATAGAGAATTCCAAGCCAGTCAGGGTTATAAAGCGATGTTACAAAGTGTCCAAAAAATAAATTAAAACTGGATGTATGCAAAGACAGGGGTTACTGACTTATTCTGACTTTAGAAATCAATTCTGAAAGGGTAACACCAGTCTGAGTAACTAACAGGCCTGTGTCAACAAGCCTGCCAGACAGTCTGAGCTGTGATATTCTGGTCTTAGCCACCTTGACTCTCTGAAATACAGCAGCAATTTCAGCATGGACTTCGGAGCACCCCTGGCTAATAAGTGACCCAGACTAACTGCAGACATTGGTCAGGAACAAGTTGTAATTTGCCTCAGTGAGTCTCAAAGAATGCACAGAATGGGGACAGGTTGGGATTGAGCACCTAGGAGAAAGCTCATTCCTCAGCAACAGGCTAGTTAATCATTTCTTCTCCACAGACCAAACTCATCCCTGATGGTACTGGTAGGGAATGGCCTATATTACAAAATACCTGCCTAGGTTGGACATGTTGGCAGACACCTCTAATCCTAGCATTCAAGAGGCTAAAGCAGGAGGATCACAAATTTGCAGCCAGCCTGAACAGAGCAGTAAGACCTTGCAGAAAGAGAGACAGATAGACAGAGGTATCAAAACTGTGAGCTTTGACATGTACAATAAAACTCTGTCTAAAGTGAAGAGTTTCAGTCAATTGTATGCAGAGGCTGAAACTCTTCGTTCTAGACTGTCCACATTAATGAAGAGAAACACTGAAGATGGTGGCCCCTCACAACCCAGCCACAAGCTGCAAGACCCAGGCTGCTGGACTTTCTCACCTCAGATCTTCTACTGACAAGACTGCCATCAATCAGAATGCTCTGAAGAACACAACTTCAGAAAATGGGTTTGACATGGTTATAGTTAGGGATGCCTCTGTGGTCTGTATTAACGTGGCAGGGGTGATCAAAATCCATACCAACAAACACAAGTGAAAGAGTGCACAGACAGCCTGGTGGTGCATGCCTGTGATCCTGAGCATGTGAGCTTAAAGCAAGGTTGACAGCAGGGATATGAAATGAGGAAGGGAAGGAGAAAGGAAGAAGGGAAGAAGGAAGGAAAAACTAATTCAGGGAACATTATCTATCTGTTCTCTATCTCCCCAAAGGAAATCATGAGCAGTCACTCACCAACCAGCCTGGGTCCAGTCCTGGCAACCTCATTAGCTCTTAATAGGCTTCCCTCTTCTCAGCCCTTCATCCAAGTGGGAAAGCACAAGCTTCTTTCCCTCAGCACAATGCTGTCGAGCAGCAGTTAATTTTATTGGTGATGTGCCACTGTGCTCCGTATTTTGTTATCTAGTAGCTTTGGGGTTTTTTTTCCTGCTTTTAGGCTATCAAGAATAACATCCTGGGGACTGGAAAGATGGCTCAGCGGTAAGTAGCACTTGTTCCTGCAGAGGACCTAAACTCAGTTACCACACTCACAGGGCAGTTCACAGCCATTCACTAACACCAGCTCTCAGGTAACTAACACCCTCTTCTAACTTCCATGGGCACCAATCATGCACAGGGTGCAGATACATGCATGCAGGCTAAACAGTCACAGACATAAAATTAATAAATAAATCTTTAAAAACTTATGATGCTAGAGGAATGTCTCAGCAGTTAAGAGCACTTATTCTTGCAGAGGACCTAGGTTCCATTCCCAGCATCCACGTGGTGGTTCACGGCTGTCTGTAACTCCAGTTTTGGGAAATCCAATGTCCTTTTCTGGACTCCTTAGGCATAGTGCATATGAGGTACACAGACACACGCAGGCAAAATGCCCATACACATAAAATAAAAATAAATAAATATTAAAAATGAAAAAAAATACTTGCCAAGCAATGGTAGCACATGCCCTTAATCTCAGTACTTGGGAGACAAAGGCAGGTAGATCTCTGTGAGTTCAAAGCCAGCACCTGGTCTACAGAGCTAAGTTCCAAGACAACAAGGACTACACAGAAAAACTCTGCCTTGAGAGCCCTTAATAAATTAACATTCCACAGGGTCAACCAAAGCTACAATGAGACCCTGTCTCAAAAAAAAAAAAAAAAAAGGACCACTAGGAATATTTACATGCAGGTTATTTTATTGTATGCACATTTCCTTTTTCTTAAACAATGCCTCCCAGAGGAATTCCTGCTCTTATGGTAACCGTATTTTACACGAAGCCACCAACTCCACTGTATGTACCCACCCTCTAGACTAGCAGCCAGTCAAGGAGGGGACTTAAGCCCTCCCATGGGAGCCACACTCAGCACATAGCTTGTAAGTAAAAAAGAGAATTTACCCGTTTCAGCCACCAGAACAATCTATGAGACCCACTCAAGTAAGGTGTGAGCCACAGTGACTAGGGGTCATGCCTTCCTTTTTTCTCTTTCATGTGTGTATGTGTACACATGTCTGCGGATGAACCTGCCTGTGTGCGCACATGTAGAAGCCAGAGATAACTCTCAGATAGCATTCCTCAGGCACCATCTATACCTGGGGTAGTTTTGTTTTTTGTTTTGTTAGTTGGTTTAGGTTTTTTGGGACAAGGTTTCTCTGTGTAGCCCTGGAACTCAATCTATAGATCAGGCCAGCCCTGAACTCGGAGGCCCACCTGCCTCTGAGTGCTGGGATTAAAGGCCACCACCACCTGGTCCACCTTGGCTTGTTTGTTTGTGGGGTTTGTTTGTTTTGTTTGTTTTATGGGGTTTTATGGTTGTTTATGGTTGTTTGTTTTGTTTTGCCACTGAACCTAGAATTCACCAAGTAGGTTAGACTGGCTGGTCAGCCAGGCCCAGAAATTCCCTGTTTCCTCCTTCCCAGTGCTATATTAAAAATGTATATCATGGTCAGGCATGGTGGTGCATGCCTTTTAATCCCAGGACTCAGAAAGCAGGGGTAGGCAGATTTCTGTGAGTCTGAGGTGAGGCTAACCTGGTCTACACATTGACACCTTGCCTGGCCCCCAAAAGGGCAACCCCACATGCAATTTTTTATTTGGTTGGTTGGGGAGAGGTGTTGAGACAGTCTCCCTATGTAGCTGTAGTGTAGACTAAACTGGCCTCAAACTCAGATTTGCCTCAAACTCAGACTTTGCTTCTCCAGTGTTGGAATTAAAGGCCTATGCCACCACTACCAGGCCTACACAGTTTTTCACATGGGTTCTGGGGGTTGAACTAAGACTTTCACACTTACATGGCAAGAACTTTAATAAGTGAGCTATCCCCCAAGCCCCACTGGTGCTTGGGTGTGCTACGGTTTTAAGTGAACCTGTCATGAAGTAACAGGAATCCAACATACCCACTACCTCTGCAGTCACCACCCATCCTCATTGTCTATATAGCAAAACTCTTGGAAGGGTTAAGTCAGTTCTGATTGTCCCTTGAGCCACCCCACCAGACTTACCTAAATCTTCTTCCTTACTGGTCTATGATGCTCTCCACCCCAATATACTTAGGACATCCTCAAAAGAGGGTATGCACTATAGTCTGTAGTATCCATGACCTGAATCTGGGCCCCAGCACTCAGTAGCAGCAGTAGCCACAGCAGCTGCCTCACTTGCTCAGCCAGAGTAGGGAAATGCACAAAACCTGCAGTCAGCTATAAACTAGGGTGGCTAGAGTGATGGTTCCATTTCTCCTCCTGGGCTTGTACCTTTCTGTCCTCACCCAGTTCGCCCTCCACTTCAGCTCTAAATGTAATGGTACCCTGTATTTCTACCTCTAGCCCGCATCTTCTCTAAACTCCATGCTCTTTGTAACAAGTCTTCCTACTCTCCTAAAGATCTATTTTGTAACAAGTCTCCCTACTCTCCTAAAGATCTAAGACACTCAAGAACCAGGCAGTGGTAGCACATGCCTGTAATCGCAGCACTCAGGAAGCAGAGGCAGACAGATCTCTGAGTTCGAGCCATGCTGGTACACAGAGTGAGTTCCAGGACAGCCAGGGCTACAAAGAAACCCTGTCTCAAGAAACAAACAAACAAACAAACAAAAAAAAAGCTAAGCTTTGGCTACAGCCTCCTGCCAAAGAGAGGGGATTCAGGCCTGCTGTCTCACTTAAGCAGGAGAGGGACTCTGTGGGAAGTGACTTGACAACCACTGACCTGGTTAAAAGGAAACCACTCAGCTACAAAGAGCTCATTGTGGCCAGCTTCTGGAGAAAGACCCTGCCTTAAACGAGGGAATGAGAGCCAGGTATTGTGGTTCACACCTGTAATTCCAGTACTCAGTAAGTGGAGACAGAAAAATCATGTGTTCAAGTCCAGTATCCACTGCACAATAAGTACACAGTAAGATGAAGGTCAACCAAGCCTACAAGACTCTTGAGAGAGGGAGAGAGAGAGAGAGAGAAGAGTGAAATTAGCCCTGGGCGTAAGGCCACTCTAGTCCTTCCTTGGCAGACCAAACTGTCCCCAAATGGCAGGGCTTCAGGCCAGAACAAAGCTCTGTGGTACTTATAGACAAGAGGATGATTCAATACCAAGGTGGGACTCACAATGTCTAAATCCTAGAAAAATGGCACCCGTGGGCAACAAAGAAGAAGAAGAAGAAGAAGAAGAAGAAGAAGCAGCAGCAGCAGCAGCAGCAGCAGCAGCAGCAGCAGCAGCAGCAG